AATTTGAATTGTAAGTCCCCCGGGTCTTTTCACTCCACGGTCAGGAGGAGCCTGGTGATTCAGTCACATTCCCATCTGAGGTCCTGAGCGCCACAGTTACTTCAGAAGTCCTTCTGTGCTCTCTCCGCAATTACTTCGGAAGTCCTTCTGTGCTCTCAGCTTCTGTCCTTTCCTGCTACAAGTTTGCAGGTTCGCCCTCTGTACCTGCTCCTGCATTTACAGCGTCACGGTGGCCTTTGGGCCACAAAAGAAAGCAATGGACTGCCTTGCTTAGGGAAAAATAAACAAGGAAATCTAGAGAATGCAATAAGAAGGCATTCTCTATCAATCATCAAAAAAAAAAAAAAAAAAAAAAGAGGTAATCCTTAGGTATACACATTTACAAACCCAAATGAAAGAAGGCTGCACAATAAAATCACAGTACCCTAACCGGAACTACAAAATGTAAGCAACTTAATATTCTCAGAATCTGTTTTTATTTCTAAGCACTGAACCATAGTTCAATTAAGTAATGGTCCCAATTTAAAAATTTCTCTGCCCTGGATGAGAAAAAAAAAAAAAAGAAAAGAAAGAAAGAAAGAAAAGAAATTCTTGTCTACAGGAGCTGTAGGTGCTTCATAAAATAAACTTTCAGTAACAATAATCTGAAGTGGGGGACAGGTATGGGGGAAGGGGATATGAATATATATGTGTTCCACCACGCTCCATGCTTGCCTTCCTCCAAGCATGACCAGAGTTAAGCCTTCCGTCTCTATGCTCATCAGTCATGGTGTGAACTTACACTCCCATAGTGCTTTGCATATCCCTTAGCTAAAGCCCTGTACTATGCCTTATCTCCTTCCCAAATCAGGCCTGAGAAGCATGGATCCATGATCTCTCTTAGAGCCAGAGACCTCCTCAGCCACTTCTGACTGCCTGGGGACACCAAGTCCTCTGAAACCCTTTAAATCCACCGTTCTTTTTTCCTTCACAGTTCACCCTCTTCAGGTCATGGCTGACTCCAAGCATAATTAGTTTATTCAAGAATGCTGCCTTAGGCCGGGGAGCCGGCACAGGCGGTAAAGCGTGCTTGCCTTGCAAACATGAAAGCTTAACTTCAACACCCAGGAGCCATAGGGGGAAAAAATGACATATACCTGTAATCCCTGGGCTGGCGACGTTATTAGCCAGCTAGACAAATCAATAAGCCAGCCAGCAAATCAATATGTTTCAAGTTCAGTGAGAGACCCTGTCTCAAAGCAATAAAGGTTGAAAAAGACTAACAAACGACACCTGCCACCAAACTCTGGCCTCCCCAAAATGTGCACACATGCACCTACACACAATGGAACCAGTAAGTACATACTCCACACACGCACAATACCATCACAGTCAAAACCTAACAAGGCAGAAGTGACACCTGGGAATAATGCCCGAGGCTGGCCTCTGGCCTCTGCAAACAGGTATACATATGGGTGTCCCCTCCCACCAATAGTATCTGACCTTTACGAAGAGTGAGGTGCAGTGTGGGGGGGAAGGGAGGACACAGGGTTGTGCTAGTGTTAAAAAAGGAGAGATCTCTAAGTGAGGCATCCAAGTGGAGAATCGGCAAAGAAATCACATGCATATCGGCAACATGTAATTTTTAAAATTCCTTTTATTGAAAAGAGACTCTTGGCCAGGTGATGGTGGCGCTCACCTTTAGTTCCAGCATGGGGACGCAGCAGCAGGCAGATCCCTGTTGAGCCCAGCTGGGTCTACAGAGAAGAGTTCCAGGACTGCCAGGGCTACACAGAGAAACCTTGCCTTCCAAAACCAAAATAAATAAATAAATGAAAGAAAATTGATCCTTTTCTCATATGATATATCCTGATTATAGTTTCCCCTCCTGCTATTCCTTCTAGTTCCCCCACCCACTGACCCCCCCCCCGCCCGCCAAAATCTGCATCCACTCCCTTTACACTTATTTTTAAATCGCTTGCCTGTGTGCTGAGGGGGGTGGCTAACAACTGCATGCTGCTGTGTGAGCGACACCGGTGATCGTGGGTTCATAGCATGGGGGGGGGGCAGGTGTGTCTAGGAGTTGTCACTGGCTCAAATGTTATCTCAGAGAATCCAGCATGATTGGATTTCGCCTGAAGAATGTGTGGGTGGGGTGTTGGAAGCTGCATTTGTGAGGGGCAGGCAGAGGAGTCCCGAGCGGAAGCTACCCACAAAGCCGTGGGACGGAAAGCAATTCCCCAGGCCAGGTGTAGAACATGGAATGAGGAAGCAGATGCTGAAGAGGCCAGGGAGACACTGTGTGGACAGGCCCTTCTCTCACACCCTGCTCTCGCCACCCTGACTCCTCCTGCAGCAGAATCCTCCACCACAGACTTGGCCCGCCATCCTATACGATGGCGCTCTTCCAGCCTTTCCGATTCCTTGTCTATCTCTTCTGGTCTAAAGCGTGGAGCTAGGAAGGACTGGAGCCATTGGCCCTCAATCTTCTGCTTCTTCCCTGTGACCGGATCCCTTCCTGTGACCTTCAATGTCCTCTATGCACTTACACTCTCTAAAGCCTTACACTCTCTAAAGCACACCCGCACCCCAGCTCGAGGATTACCGTCTTCACACACACCAACTTCTCGGATGGCACTTATCTAACAGCTTTTGAGGACTTTCCTTACTACCTGCTGTTTCCACAGAAGCCATGACGATAAATTCCAAGCATAAATCAGATCTTAAGCCCGTAGACTAGAAACCCTACACAGGTTTCCGGTTCCTGCGGCTGCCACAACAAATTGCCACAAACTTAAAACAACACAAGTTCATCCTTCACAGTTCTGCAGGCCAGAGGTCAAGGTGTTGACAGAAAGAGTCCATCCAATGGCCCTGTGGAGTCCCATTTCCTTCCCTCTGGGCCTCCTCTGCTGTCACCGCCTCAATGCAGTCTGCCTCTGGCCTCTGGCTTCCTATGGCCTCCCCTTATCTGTTTTTTTTTTTTTTTTTACTTGTTTGTTTGGTTTTGGGGGATTGGGTCTCTCTATGTAGCCCAGGCTAATCTAAACTCTCAATAACCCTGCCTCGGCTCCCCTAATGCAAGGGATTGCAGGCATGTAGCCTGGCTGGCCGCCTGGCTGACTACTCTGGGCTTTTCATTTGAGCCTGATTCCCTGTGCATCCCAGGCCCCCCTCACTCTGCCTCGCCAGAACTGCATGGCAGCCATGAGCTACTGTGCCTTTTTTTCTTTTAAGGGCATTTGTCACAGAATTTACCACTCACATGATCTCACCGCAAGGTCATAAATTATAATTATATATTAAGAAAATCTTCTTGCCCATATAAACACGCATCATAGGTCCCAGGGACTAAAACTGAGGCAAACCCTCTATCCAACCACCAGCCCCCATTTCACTGGTTCTGGTCCATGTCCTACCTAAACTCCTGTCTCCCGTCTCCCTGAGCAGCAGGCAGGCTCTTTCCTCTAGGGCCTCTCCCTACTTCTCTAAGAGAAGGTCATTCCCACCCTTGGCCTTTTCCTGCATTGCCCCCTTTCTGCTGTCTACCTAGCTGACTCTTTCGGGCTTCAGTTAAATATTACTTCTGTGGACAATTACGTTTTTACCTCTTGCTCTGCCGTCACCCCCAAACACGCTGTTGCTTTTCCTCAACACTGACTGTCCCTCTGTTCCACCACGGCAGGGTTAGTTACACAGGGGTTTGTGGGTTTCCTTGGGCAGATTTGTCTTTCCCACTGGACTATGAGCTCTTTATGTCATTTTAGGAAATGCATCTGCTTTGTTCTCTTGTGCACGTACATTCAGAGCCCATGATAGCATGAACGAAAAGTATTAAGTCAACAGCCCCTCCCTTCCCCCCTTTGCATGGGTTAGAGAACTGCAAATAAAGGACTCAGAATAGTGAGCAGACAGCACAGAACACCTCTTACCTATTTAAGAGTTACTGAGCCCCGCCCACCCTGGGCAAGCCATAAAACTGAGCAAATGGAAAAAGCATATCTGATTTTCATTAGCAGAGTCTAGGGATTTTCCTGGCCATCTATTCAGTTGGAGGAGTAAGGTATTCGTTCCCCATTTTGTACTCTTCTCCTGGCCAAGGGGATGGACTGTAGTGTCTCAGAATCGCTAGGAGAAACTGATATAGACTTTCACCTTCAACCTCACACTAAGCTGGAAGATTAGCATATGTATTACCAAAAAAAAAATCTCTTCCTTGGAATGCCTGGAATTCCCCAGCCTCTCTTCTTCTCCACAAGTCACTTTTAAATTGAAATATGATTCACGTACCATAAACCCTACCCTTTGCTACACGATTCAGTATTTTGCACCAAGTGGAATCACCTGTTACTCATTCCAGAATATTCTCAACACATGCAAGAAAAGAAAAACCCTCTCTGAGCAATCATAGTCTATTCCTCCCTCTCTAGAGCCCTGGTAACCACGGATGTACTGCACACAATCTGTCTGGCAGTCCCTTTTATATTCATGAAACTGAAACACAGACACATGTCATGATTTACCAAGAGTGGCTTAGAGAAGGAGCACCTGCATTTACAAAAACGTTTTGTATGTAAAAGCAAAAAGCAAAAATGCTTACTGTATCTAGCACATGCCCTTCAATGTGACCACAATCCATCTGACAAGGGCAGGGTATAGCAATATTTTCAGAACAACACAGCTCACTAGAAAGGGGAAGGATATGGGGGGTAGGTGTTGGGTAGTAATCTCTCTTAAGAGGTGGAGCAGGAGGAACAGAAGTTCAAGACTTTGAAAGGAAGAGTCTCTGTGTCCAGGGAGCCACTTGCTTCCTGTACAGTTCATTCATATTAGCTAATGCATAATAGTGCTGACACCATTTCTGCATCCTGACTGGTTAATGACGTCTTGCCTGACTTTCTAGATAATCCAGCTGAACTTTCCAGTAAAGAAAATATCACATGTTTAGGTAACTATCACACCACCATCATAAATGTGTACACAGGAACATTCATTCTATAGGCTCAAATCAGCAGACTCCATTTGCAAAAACAATTAGGCATACATTTTATTGCATGTCTTAATCAACATTACATATACCACTAACAAAAAGAAATTGTCACCGCTCAAAATACATAAATCTCAACCTCAGTTTTAATATTCAAAAATATTAAAATAGCAATCAAAAGGAAAAGTCAAATCTAAATTTTACTCGTTAAAACAGACACTAAATGCCTGGAATATTTTAATCTGCTAACATCAACACACATACAAGAGCCTACTACTGGCTGAGTAAACACGCTTTCCCTTACAAACAAGGTATTTAAAGTTATAGAAAGCCTTATGACTATATCATCATTTTAATAAAAAACAACTGCTAAGCTGCTTATGTAGATAATCTATTCACAGGACTGCTCAGTAAATGACAAAATGGAAACTCCTTGCTTATCAAATACTTCCATAACATTTAATTTAAGCATGTAAATTTGCTTGAAAAGTCAACCCCCAACTGTCTATAGCAAATAGAGAACTTGAGTAACAATAAACTGGAAATAAGAAGTGAAAGAATATTTTGCATATTTCATTATGGTGTATCTTTGGAATGAAATTAAAATACAACTACATATAAAAATACAACTCTAGTTTCCTTTGTTATGCATTATGGATATAAATAAGCCCACCAGCCTAAAAAGTCCTAACCACCAATTCAGAGAAAAAGGTAAACACAGAATTAAATAGTCTTAAAGACCTTTTCTCTCTTTTGATAGGGACATCAAGCTACTAAATAAAAGTCATCTCAATAGTTACTTTCAGATTGCATCCATTTTCACTCTGTCCCATGATAGGAGACAAACAACAAAAAAAAGGCAAAAGAGAAATTTCAAAAAAAAAATTGTTTTCAAGGGGACATGGGCAAGGCGAGAGAGCATTCAGGGGAATTTCTTTCTTGAGTGTTTTTATATATTTTCCTTGAATAAAATCAGGGTCAAGCATTGCCCACAGAATCTAGACAAATTGTTTATAAACTTTGAGGTTGCTGGGTAACTTACAGAAAAGCAGCAACAGATTTTTATTCTAAGAGTTAATGAAAACAAAACAGTCACTAGTACACACAAATTTTAATGTTTTGAAATGGTCACCCTGTGCGATTCACTTAAATCCCAGGTTCACAAAGGTCCCTCTCTCCAGGCAAGCTGTCAAGTGAACCCTGAAAATAATTTCCTTATGAATCCCTGAGGACTGGGTTCTCTATGTACTGTGCACTTTTTCATACCACAGTCAAGAAGCTGCAACTCACTCCCAAATTCAGCTCATGATTTCTCGATAAAACCGTTAGTAGGGAGCCAGAAGAAATGTCTTAAAAACATATTTAGTTCTGAAATAACTTAGTTTGGGAAGTATTTATATTCCTAGTCAGAGAACTCCTTTGAAAGCTTAAAACTTTTCAAAGACACAGCCAGCTCAGCGATTGTTAAAGACAGTGCCTGTAAAACTAACGACCAGTGAGAGACACACTGCTTCAGGTGAGCTCGGCTCACCGCAGTTCAAAAGCCAATTCTCCGTTTTCATAACTGAACACTGCTCAGAGGTCCGGCGCTACCTATGTTAAAAGTGAACTAGAAATCAGCGTGGGTGAGGAGGGGCCAGGAGGATGGATCTTTCAGATTTAATCTTTCAGATTAAAAGGGACCTTTGAGAGCCGATCCAGCTACTCAGATGAGGAAACTGAGGCCCAGCAATATAAAGGACTCAGCCAAAGTCACGAGGCGGCCAAGCCATTTGTTCACCCCGGCTGCCAGGAGTTGGCTTGAAGGCAGCAATCAACAGCTACCAAGACAGTCTCTTTTTTTCCCCCTTACAATCTTAAGACAAACCCTCCGAATTTCCAGGTGAGCAAGAGCTCATGGGGGAGATGAACACTCTCTGCAGAACTGGGTCCACTGTCGGTTTCACACATTGGGGTAAACACACTTGGGGCTGGCTTCAGAGAGGCCGCAATTGTGTTTACTTGAAGTGATTAAGCATTAACAAGGGGAGGCACGGCATTCTGAATGAGTGCCCTTCTAGTACATTCACAACATAGGGAAGTGCAATCAGAAAATGCCCCATGATCACAAATAAGTCCACAGAGGGGACAGCTTGCAGAGTGCTGTGAGGTATGGATATGTAGGTCAGTCAGTCCAATAGCTCTCGTTTACAGAGAACAGAATGGGAATGTCTCGCCATTTCATGTTAGCTCAAGTCAAGGTTTCTGAGACATCTGTCCAAAATAGACCTCCAAACTTGCATTCAGACCAATACCCTCTTCCAATGAAATGTATTTCCACACCAGGCCTTTTTCTCAAGGCAAATTTCCTCAACTTCTATTTGATCAAAGACAAATCAGTTTTTAAAAACCTCAAAGAATTCAAATCCCGCACCATCAAAATAGTGATAGTTCTAATTTCACATTCACAAGTTTTGATTAAAAAAAAAAAAAAGGACATGCAATGAATTTACCCATCAGCATGAATCCTACCCCATTGTGCCTGGACTTTTACATTCTTTAATACTAAGTCTTGCACTTAAAATGTGTATTTCCTGGTGCTGTGGATCAGACACGGGGTCTTGCACACGCATCTGAGCTACACACACAGCCCACTCCCCCAGCCCACATCTAAATGCTGTGTGCATCTCCATTCACAGCAGCTTCTTCAAAGACTGGGCGTGGGGGGTACATAGACAACGCTTTTCATGGAACAACCCATGAGGAAAGAAGGGAGAAATACTGAACAGCAAGCAGTGTTCCGTGCTCCTGGTTTCAGAGTGACATTCCCAAATGAGCCACAGCTTTCCAGTGTCCTCACTGCCAGCTGCCGGGTGACTTCTGGGGAAAATACAATCATCACGGGTCAGCTACTGTCAGCTCCCAAAAAAGAAGACTCTGTTCTGCTCATCTACTTCTCAAAGCTCCAGATCTGATTTTTATCATGGGCATCACACGTTTTCATCTGTACACTGGGTCGGCCTTCGGATGTCCGAAAAGCACTGAGACACAGTCCGGTGTGAGGGTGGAAAATAGTTCCGTCTTCTTTAAAAAGCCAAATGATGTTTACTGGAGCAGGGAGACCATCTTTGGGACAGTTTTGCATCCCTACGTGATTTTTTTGTTCGGGGACCTCCGCACATAATTCGGTCACAGAATTAAATCTGATTTCTTTGTTTGAAGTATATTCAAAGAATTGATTGCCTCCTTGACCGTGGCATCCAAACAAGGAAAGGTTGGCACCTGTAGGGTTGTTATCAGGGGCATTATAGTCTAAGCACTCGGAAGAGATGCCTTTGCTTCGAATAGCTCCATGCCAGCCAGGTCTATCCTCGGGGACATGTAAGTTAGAGAACACGTTTTTCAGATACCAGTCGAAGCTCTTGCACTTCAGCCGCTCCCTCAGTAACTTCCTTTCGGAAATATCACCATAGGCCTCTTTCCGAGCCGGAGGGTTTCGGTTGTAGAAATGTTCTTTGTATTCATCCATCCACACTTCGGCAGCCCGGGCAGTGTTCTGTAGGAAATTGGGGCGTGCATACGGCGCCCGCTTAGGGAACACATGGCCCACATGAGAACATGGGTGGATCTCCAGCTTGCCACCACACTGCCAAACCCTGAAAGACAGCTCGAGGTTTTCACCTCCCCATACTTCCATCCCAGTGTCGTAGGTCCCCAGGTACTGAAAATACTTCTTGCTGACAGCAAACAGCCCTCCTGCCATGGTGGGTGACCTGATAGGGTCAATTCTTGATGTCCGCCTGTTCCTTTCGTGTTTGGGGACAGAATGCCACTGGAATGTTAAACGCCAGTCAAACCCACCAATCATGGGCTCCCCAGTCTGCATGTAGAACTCAAAAGTATTCCAATCAATCGTATCAATGACAGGGCATACAATTGCTGTTTCATCTCTACTAATTCTCTCCAAAAGTGGTTCCAACCAACCAGTATTACACTCACAGTGGCAATCCAGGAACGTGAGGACATCCCCAGTGGCAAAAGTGGCCCCAATTAGGCGGGCCCGGACCAGCCCCTCCCTCTTATTGGTTCTAATCAAGCGAACTCTGTCGAGATTGCTGATGTAAGCTTCAAGTTGTGCCTTCAAATAAGCTCTGTCGCTCAAGTCATCTACCAAGATGATCTCTTTCAAGAGCACTGCAGGAGAAGTTTCTAAAACACTGTGAATGGTTCGAAGCAGAGTGGACCAGGCTTCGTTATAGAAGGCGATGACAACGGAGGTGGTGGGGAGCGACCTGTAGTGGAACTTCTTCGCTTTACACTCAGGCATTCTTTTATCCTCGATGTGGCGGTGCAGGGAGATCCTGTCACTGACATAAATATTGATGGCATATCTCTCAATGAGTTCTTCTTGCTGCTTCAGTCCACCCTCGTTGAGCTGGAGTTTGCTCGCTCTTCCCCACTCCCCAAGAGCATGGGAATCTGCAGGGGGCTTTATGTAAAGAGGCCGGGACAAATCCTCTCCCCTGGTCTCATGGTCTGAGATCTGCCTTGGCTCCAGATCCCTGGCATCGCCGGCTCCTGGGGAGGCATACAGAGTGGAGACGGAAAGCTCCACCAGGATATAAGCCAGTGTTAAAAGCGCCAGCAGCAGGCAGCTCTTGCCTGCCCAGGTCCACCTCACGGCCATCCGGATCCTCAGGGGTCGTGCGCAGACGAGGCCACCCAGCCAGCCCTCGGGGGAAAGTGCTGCGGATCCTGCAGCTGGAGTTCCCGGCTCAGGTAGGGGCGAACTTCCAACCAGGCCCCTCCTGGTTTCATGTAGGCGCTCGGCTCCTTCCCGGACACCGGAGTTACCCGGGGGTCACTTGAGACCCCTCGCTCCTCGGCCTCCGGCGCAGCTCAACTAGTCGGTCCCCCACTTCCTCCTGCTCCTCTCAGAACTTTTCACAAACTCTCCAGCCAATACTCCACCCTCCCCAGGCCGATCGCAAACCCCTCCCCTTCCCACTCACTCCTCCTGGTGGTTAGTTCACGAAAGTTGTCCGTCAGGCCCAGACCGGCCGCGTCGGTACTGAGCAGGGGCCCGGGGACCAGGAGTGTCCCAGTGCGCCCCATCGCGCCTGGCTCCCTCAGACAGGGCCGAAGGAGGAGGAAAGAAAGGTTTTCAGCTAAGTGATCTTTGGTTACTGTCACAAAAAAGAAAAGAAAGAAAGAAAAGCAAAACTTACCCAGTTGTTTGCAGTTGGGGTTGAAGTCCACGGAGGTGATCGCAGCTTTGTGGCCTTTAAAATAACGTTCCAGAATCGGGTCCTCCTAGGACGGAAAGTTGTCAAGTTTGAAAAGCAGGTGCACCATTCGAACTCCCGGGCTCGGAGGCCGTCGCTGCCTGTCTCCCCAGATAGCAGAGGACCCCCGCCTGCCTCGTCGGTGTGCAGCGTGGGAGGAGGGGGCATCAGCTCCGGGGTGACAGGCTCCGGAAACTGCCCCTGCCCCCTCCGTCCCGCCGCACCCCAGCCAGCCCGGGCTCCGGAGCGCGCAGCCCAGGGACCCGCCCCGGCTCGCCCTCCGGGCGCCGAGCCGCCGGTGCACGCCGCAGGCTCCCGCGCCCTCTCCACCTCTCAGGTGATTCTGACGCACTCGGGCCGCGCAAACCGGCCTGGAAGTCGGGGATCCCAGCGCCCAGCGCCCCGGGCGGCGGTGATCGGCCGAGCTCCGGGACCCGGCCGGCTCACGCCTGCCTCCGGGGTCCCCCGGGACGAGCGTGGTCCCCACCATCCGGCCCTGCCGCCGTGGGGCCGGCCCGGTCAGCGGCGGGGACCTTACCGGGGCGGAGGCCATGGGGGCAGCGGGCAGCTCCGGGGCCCCGCGGGAGCCAGGGAGGGGCGGGACCAGGGGGGACCGTGCGGCGCCCGGAACCGTCAGCCCCGAGCGCCGGCGCCTCCCGGTCACTACAACAACGGCGGTCCGATCAAAGCCCGCGCTCCAGGCGTGGCCAGGCGAGCCCCGAGACGCCGCCCGCGAGGCGGACTGCCGACGGCCTGACGGCGCGCGGGGCCCCGCGCTCGCACGCAGCCGGGCCCGCTTGCCTCCGGGGTTGCGGACCCCGCCAGGGTCGGCGCCGCGGAGCCGGGGGTAGCCCGGGGAGGAGTGTGATCCGTGGGGGCGAGGCGGATGGCAGCCGGTGATCGATGCCATCGGAGTTCTATTACACCTTAAAGAGACCGCGCCCACAGCGCGCGACGCCGCCCGCAGCGGGAACTTTGAGCTTCGGGCGTGCTGCTGACTGGTGGCTGTGCGTTCAGAGGAGCCGAGTTCCTGGAGGAAGACTGGGTTTTGTTTAGCTGCAGCCTTTGCAGGTGCTGTGGTATAGATAGAAATGCTGCTGGCAGCAGGCATGGAAGGACGTCATATCCAAATGTCCACCCGTTATTCGCCGTCTGTCCTATTCTCATCTGCTTACTTGCAGTTTTGTTTTGTTTTTGTTTTTCGAGACAAGGTTTCTCTGTGGCTTTGGAGCCTGTCCTGGAACCAGATCTTGAACTCGCAGAGATCCTCCTGCCTCTGCCTCCCGAGTGCTGGGATTAAAGGTGTGCGCCACCAGCCCCGGCCCTGCAGATGTGCCCGGCCCTGCAGATGTTTTCTCCGCACACATATTTGAAGCCGGACGCTTTGAAGATACTAGACCGCGTGCTTACTATAACGGTTGCCACTGTAGGCTTTCTTAAGTGTCGTTTCTGCTTCGGCAGCATGAGGTTGCTAATGCTACAAAATGTTATCGGTGGCAATTTATAAAAGGGAGGCCTCATCTAGGTGATTCCACAAAGCCCTTGACACCAAACCCCAAACCCTGCCCTGAAGCGTCTAAATAAAGGACTCACCTGAAAATTATACACAGAACAGACGTTCTTGGCAACAAAATGTCATGATAACTGGTAAGATACACGTTCTGTGTAAATGGAAGATGTCTTAATTACAGGTTCTTTAACTGGCTGTATTGTGATTGCATTTCGTCTTAACCACTTTGTAGCAATTAAGTAGGTAGAGAATGACTGCAGTACAGTGTTAGTTTAACACACAGGTGGGTGGTTGTTAAATATAACTTTTTGTGTGCTTGACCCCAACGGCTATAAAACAAACAAAAACCCACCAAAATATTTTCCCTGCCCTCAAGAACTTGGCTATAGCTCCACTGGAGGAGAGTGCTTGCCTAGCATGAACTAAACCTTTGAGTCTACCCCCAGCACCACACCAACCTAACCTGGCACTGGGGACTTAGAGGCAGGGGTATATAAGTCCAACCTCATCCTTGGCTACATTGTAAGTCTGGTGCCAAAATGAGACATATGGACTCTGTTAATCAATAGCAAAATGCAAACAAAATGCCCCTCAGTATTCTAACTTGAGGAGTCTCATATTTTAGCATGTTTAATGCTGGTTTAAGGAGAGTAGGGGGGCACTCTTGTCAAAGATGCCAATCCGGTATTTATGAGGCAGGACCTAGAGCCCTACGGGCACAACAAACTCCTTGAGTGGTTGCTATGGTATATCTATGGTAGGTATTTCACAGCTATTTGTTGAGTTTCTTTTGCATCAATCATTTATTGCCTTAATAATGCTGTATAACAACTATGACGGTCAGTGGCATACAAAAGTGGCCTGTTATTTAGTTCATTAGAAGACAAGACATACTTTACATGAGAGGCCCTAGGGTATAGTCTGCTACCGTTACTTTACTAAATGTTGATATCGTCAATTTACCTTCTAAGCATTTATTTATGTTTATACCAATAAGCCTGGGCTACTCTCAGCATTGGTTAAGAAGCTGACTTATGCAGTTGACTGGAGTCAACGAATAGACCCATAACTGGCGAAAGTACTGAGAACAAGAGTCTAGAGTGCTTAGTCCTAAACATGGCATCTCTATCACACCCCACCCCGTGGCAGAAGAGGGACCAGGGGGTAAGGATGAGGAGTGCAGTGAAATGCCCTCTTCTGGCCATGGCATGGCTATTGCCTGTGCATAGCAGCTGTGGTTACCTGCGAAGGATCAGACTGGCCCAAATTCTAGCACAGATGTGGGTGGTGCTCTCCAAACCCCACCCCCTAAGGGAGGGGCTTATAGGCCGTTGATGGCTACTGGGAAAAGGAGGAGCATTCTTCTTTGGCGGTGTGGCTTCGGTCAATGGCCCCACACCCAAGCACATATGGGCAGCTCCCATATGAATATGAAGTTGGGAGAGGGGCCTCTTGGGAAGGTTATAGGGGAAGCTGTAGGGGGAAAACAGAAGGTAGGTATGTTTCATTGTATACATGCATGATTTCCTCATAGAGTAAAAGTATTTCATGCCATTACCCAAAGCTGACCTTAAAACTTGTCATATTCCCAGGAACAAAACAACACAAGATTGTCACACCCTATGATGTACTCGCTGCAGCTAAATGCTCTTCTAAGTACCTGCTTACATCTTGACATTTAACCATCATCATAATCACTTTAGGGAGTCTTATATTTCCATTTGAAGTACAAAGACATTGTTTCTAGCCCAAGGCACACTGCTCAGAAAAGAGAGAGCTAAAAAATTTCAGGCATTCAACAGTCCTAACTGCAAAGTCCTGACATCTCTTGTGTGATTGCAAGTTTTTGTTTTATTTTATTTTTATTTTATTTTTTTATGGTTTTGAGACAGGGCCCCAATGTATAGCCCATGTTGACCTCAAACTCCAGATTCTCTAGCTTCTGTCTCCCAGATGTTGGGATGTCAGGTATCTGCCATTATGCTTAGCCTCCCGATTGTATGCATATTGTAAGTATTTGGCTCAGAGTGTAAAGGCACTTGCTACTAGGCTCGACAACCTGAGTGGAAGGCAAGAACCACGCCCCACTCATTGCCCTCTGACCTCTACATGAGCTTTCGTGACAGGAGCATTTCCCCTCTTCAGTAATTTTCTTTTTAACCCCCCAAAGCCAGGGTTTCTCTGTGTAACAGTCCTGGCTGTCTGAAACTCACTTTGTAGACCAGGCTGGCCTTGAACTCACAGAAATCCACCTGCCTCTACCTCTGGAGTACTGGGATTAAAGGCATTCGCCACCAGTGCCTGGCCTGATCCAGTAACATTTTAAAAATTGTATGCTATCCATGGTTTTAATAGTTTGACCAAGGTTAAAAAAAAAAGCAAAATCTCAGATACCTTCACCCCACGGGCCTCATCTGTTGCTCTAAGCTCCTCCTATACCCTTTCCATGTTTGTTTTTTCTCTCCCTACTCTTCTGCCAGCAGCAAGGGCTCATCGGTAGACACTGGGAAAACAGTGGAAGTCAAGGAAGTATTTCAGATCTCAAACCTGTATGTAACCCACTTCCTACAGCAATGGTTTTGCACTTCGCAAAATGTCAAATTTAGCGTTGGCATGGAAGTAGCCACAGGCAGGGTGAATCAATATTTGTAAACCTACAAGGTGTCATTGGAGACTGTATACTAGGTAGGCCAAAGTAGCCTTTAGGTGGCTCCCATTTCTCAGCTCTGCCTCAGACTAGATATTGAATGTGCCTGCTTGAGCCCTATAAAGGTTTGTTTCTGGATATAGATCGTTCCTAGGTTAGTGGTGTTCCACTTTGGAAATTCAGTCACTTAAAGCGCCACCTACTGTTCACGTTGCTGTATTGCACTTGCATTAAACAGCTGTTCATAGGGATACAAGTGCTCTCCTCTCCCAGAGTGTGGAAGACAACGTAGACAGGAAAAACAGGAGCTGAATGTGAGTCACTAAAGCACTGCACACGTTTCGGAAGGCTGTGGATGATTTATTTCGATCAACATTGGGTCTCTAAATCTTGCCAATTATATCCTGGTAAATATTTCTATCTTCCTATTTTCTGTCCCTCTACTTCCTGCCACAGAGATGGGGACATGCCCTCGAGTTAGGTTTCCATCCTCTATTTCCTAGAGCGTTTTAGTAACCTTGATGCGCTTTCGACTTCAAGGCTTTCTCTTTCTGTCCATCTTGTTTACACTCAACAGACACACCTGGCTGCTGGCTAACCATACAGACTCCTGAGCGCCCGCCTCCTAGTCAGGGGTTTTGAAGTAGAAAGTCCAGTGTGAATCCTAGAAATTTACATGTTGTAAAACAAGCTTCTTGATCAATTATAAGTTAGATTGCCATTTGGGAATCCTGTGCATACCGGGGGATGGACCTATAAAAATGCCTCAAATCAAGTCATTTGTTTCCTATCTAGTCACATGTACTCAGGGACTAATACGTAAGCCATTGAAGCCCACTATATGTACCCAGATTCTGGAGGTTTTTTTTAAGGGCATCCTGAAGCTGAAAATGCCTGTGCCCCCCTTCTCAACTGGCACATAAAGGGAGTACATGTTTATGCGACGTGATCTTCTCCAGTCTGTTCACCCTACAACACATAACCTTTCCCCCACTTCCTTCATGTCCCCTTCATATGTTATTTATGGTTCCACTTGGCATGGTTTGTGTTGTCGAATTATATCTGAGCTACCTTGTGTGTCTACCATCCGCCATTGCAGCGAAGGACCAATAAAGACAGCTGTGTTGCTTCCATTTGGGTGTTACTCTGCAGCATCCCAGCCCCTGGAAAACAGTGGAGGCCTTGGCATCATTTAAAGAAACAGGATACATTACATGAAATGATCAATGGGAAACCAATCAGGATGAAATTAAATTATGTAAAGCTATGAACAGTCTATAGTAATCAAGGTAGCGACCTTATTGAGGTTTTGTGGTCTCAGATATACTCAAGTCATTAGAGCAGTGTCTGGAGATGGTCTTAGAAAAGATTTTACTGGAGAAGGGACTTTTCAATAATCATTTTAAAGGCGCTTGACAAGGGTCATGACAAGCATGAAAAACATGGAGAATGACTACTGATGAGAAAGGAATCTTAAGAAGATGAAATGCTCTGGAATTAGTCACTAATGAATATGCTAAAAATACTTAGCACTTTAGAACCTTCTTCC